ACAAATTTACATGTAACCACACAGTATCTGGACTCTAATTCATAGTAAATAGCAAAGTCAAACACAGGTAATTCTTCTACAGAATGAAATAATTCTGTAGGGTGGGCCTGTTAAACGATGCTTCATTACTACATTGAAGAACATATCACAGTTCTCTTCTTACTTTCTTGTTATTTCCAAGTGCAGGGTAATTTTTATTAATGGGAGTTTTTTTTTATTAAAACACCTCACATGACTCTCTTCCATCAGTGTTCTGGCACCACAATAGTCATTTCTTGAGTCACCTAACAAAGTTTTTCAGAATATAACATTTTTATGTCCTCCTATGTTTTCTCAGATAAAGCATTCTTGGGATCTTGTGTAGAGTCCTATGAGTTTGAAAAGACGCTAGATATGTTAAATATCTATAAACACTGTAGAAGAGTGTATAGTTATGTGAAAAATGTTAAAAATGTAGGAGAAAGTAACTAACAAAATAATAATAATAATAATAATAATAATAATAATAATAATGCAATCTGTAGCTCCCCAAAATAGCAAAAAGAGAAAAAGCCAGTATAAAAATGTCTGTGAGACTCCAACGGATGGCCAGAAGGAGAAAGACTTTGGTAAAGAGAGGAACAAAATGAAATGGTAGAAATCATTCCAAATATACCACAATAAATATAAATGAATTGAACTCAGCTGTTAAAAAGACAGAGACTATTGTATTGAATGGTTAAAAAAAAAAAAAAATCCTCCTTCTGGAAACACGCCTAGAACAAAACCAAAGGATGAAAATAAAAAGATTACAAAGAAAATAATAACAATAAAAAACTGATACAACAATGTTAACATTAGACAAAATAAAAATTAAGATGAAAAGCATTAAAAGAGCTATTTTCATCACGCCAAAAGGAATGATTCAAGTGGTTCTTTCATGTACCTACAGAAATAAAAAGAACTTGATAAAAACTCAAAAATTATAATAATTTTGGAAGTTTTCGACACCTTTATTAAAAACTGATATACCTAGCAGAAAAAAATCTAGTAATGCAGACTACTTGAATAAAGTTAACAAGCTTGATCTAATGTATAGAAAAACTTTCACCCAAACGAATGGAGAATATTTCCAATACATTCATAAAATGACCACATACTAGGTCACAAGAAAACTCAGTTTCCAAGATTTTAATATCATTTCTGTTCGCAAAGTATTTAAATTAGTAATCAACAATAAAAAAGATAGTTAAAAAGTAGCAACAACAAAGGTTGTTGGAAACCAAAAAAAAAAAAAAATGGTACTAACGAATAGCTCATTAGCTGAAGAGGAAATTACAACATAATGGATCATTTAAAACTAAACACAACAAAAGTACCCCATGACAAAACATGACAAAGAGAAATACATAGCCTTAGGTATAATTAGTCTTTAAAAAGGAAAATTGAAAGCAAGGAAGCTGAATTTTCAAGTCATGTAGCTAATAAGAAAATTACAGAGTAACAAAAGCAAGTTAAGAAGTGATATAATGCATAAAATAGAAAACAAAAAAATATATAAAGAAAAATCACAAGATAAAAACTGGTTCTTTAGAAAATAATAACGTCGACAAACCTTTAGCAAGACTGATAAGAGTGTAACAATAAAAATGAACGATATTAAGAATGAAAAGTGGGGCATAAATACAGCTAGAGCAAGGTTTTAAAAAAACCTAAAAAGAATAAGATGAACCAATCTGTTCCAAAAACAATAGCAAAACTAGCTAAAATAAACATTTCAAGCCAGATCCAGATGGTTTCAAGATTTTTACCAAACACTTCCGACTCATTTCACTAAACCATTATAATCTACTGCCAAATCCTGACAAGGGCAGTAGAAAGAAAATTATAGGCCCATCTCACTCTCTTAGATATAAAATCCTATATAAAACATTAGCTGGTCGCCTCTCTGTCCAATATTGTATTTCAGGCGATGGCCTGGACAATGGAATACTATGCAGCTGTTCAAACCAGCCTAAGGAGGTGGAGGAATGAAGGGACTTACGGTAGGCCACCAGACAGGTGTACCTGGGCTCTACCGTGTCCTTCTCCACCTTTCCAGTCTGGTAAACTACTGTTTATCCTTCAAACACCTTGGCCGCCTTAGCCTCCTGTCCCACAGCTTAATCCTTCCTCTTCTGTGTTGCCTCTGCACCTCGTGCATGTTTTCATAAGCAAATCGATCTCAGGGTTGTGCAAGACTTTACCTGCGACCTGACCACAGAGCCAGCCCAGTGAAGGACTGGAAAGAAATGTTG